CGGCGCGGCGGTTTCGCGTCTCTTTTGGGGAGCGGAGGAAGCCGTCGGGCAGAGCCGGGGTCCCCGCGGGGCTCCTCTGCACTCGGCTTGAAGCGACTGCTGGCGCTGCTCCTTCCTCCTACTCCTTCTTATTCTTCTTTTCTTCCTCTTCCTTTCTTTTCCTGCCTGTTCTTCTTTCTTCTTCCTCACCCGCCTCCCCGCGTTTGCTCTTTCGCCCCCCCCTTTTCCCTGGGCGAGGACAAACGCAGGGAGGGCTCCCCGACTCCATCAGCGCCCGAAGCCCCCCCGAGTCACGGCACTGGAGTCACCCCTGAGAGGGAGAAAAGGCGCGAGCTGCCGAACACRTTTAAAGATTCTATTTTTAAAGAARAACAGAAAGYAGTTTYCTACAAGSAGCAGAGTGGCGCAGCGGAAGCGTGCTGGGCCCATAACCCAGAGGTCGATGGATCGAAACCATCCTCTGCTAGCTCCGAATTTTCTCCCTTTTTTTCACGCCTTGTCGCTCGACACAAACCCCGCGCTGCCCCCGCGAAGCTGAAGCGCGAGGGGCGCTCCACATTTGGCGCCAAAGCGCGGGATCAAACGCCGCGGGGGGCGAGAGGAGCCGCGCGCTCATTGGCTGGGGGAGGCGGTGGGCGGGGCGCTGCCAGCCTGCTCACAGTCCCCTCTCAGGTCCGGCTTTGCCCAATTCCGCGGCTGAAGCGGCGGCTTCGTCCGCGGAGCCCCTCGCGCCTTTAGGCGGCGAATGAGAAGGGAAACAAAAGCGAGGTGAATGGGAAAGGAAAAACAAAAGCGAAGTGAAGGGGAAAGGAAAACAGAAGTGAAGGGGAAAGGAAAACAAAAGCGAGGTGAATGAGAACAAAAGCGAGGTGAATGAGAAGTGAAAACAGAAAAGAGGTGAGGAAAAAAAAAAAGCATGCTCTCCCCGTCGGGGAATCGAACCCCGGTCTCCCGCGTGACAGGCGGGGATACTCACCACTATACTAACGAGGAGGGAGCTGACGGTGTCCGCGACGCGGCCGCCCTCTGGGCACCGCGAGCACCGGGACGCGCTGGAGGGACGCGGCGGGATGGGGAAAGGGGCCCGGGACGGGGCTCCGCTCCGCGCGGCGGCTGCCGGAGGAGGGACACGGCGCAGCGCCCGTCCGGGCTGCCCTTGCAGATGCAGGAAAACGGCCAAKAAACGGCAGCAAGCGGCGCCGTGGCTTAGTTGGTTAAAGCGCCTGTCTAGTAAACAGGAGATCCTGGGTTCGAATCCCAGCGGTGCCTCCATGATTATTGCTGATGGATGGGGTGTATTTTTCTCCTATTTTCTCCCCCMTCTTGTTTTTATTAATTTATATATTTTTATTTTATTTCTTTTAATGGAAGGTCCCTGGATTCTCGGGCGTAGGAAGATGCAGTTCCGAGAGTTCTCCCCAGGGGAGACCGCTCCCTGCTGCGCCGTGTGAACGAGGACACRAAGGCGGCAGAGGGGAAAAAAATGAAGACAAAACAGATCTAAAACACCTGGGAACTTAAAAGGAGTCTTCCCTGACCGGGAATCGAACCCGGGCCGCGGCGGTGAGAGCGCCGAATCCTAACCACTAGACCACCAGGGAGTGATAATGCACARCTCTCTCACAGAGCAGAAAAAGCTGCTTTTTCCCCCCAAAAAGATAACTGTGATGTGGTGCCAGCGTCCGTGCAGCAAAGCGGCTGCAGGGCTGCATGGGATCGGTGCAGAGCCCGGTGCCCCCCGAAAGGCCCCAGCAGGGGCCACATGGGCCCCGCCAGCACCGCCACCATCCAGCTTTGTTTTCCAAACCGTACTCCGCACCGGCAACCCGCGCAGCGCACGTGCGAGAGGAACGGCGCGAGGCGAGTTCGCGCGCTCACCAGAATGGATGGGGCACACAGCAAGCACTTTTAATTTCGTGCGCTCGGCACTCATTGGATGCTGCTGCCAGAACACACYAAGGATGAAGAGGAAATGCGCGGGACACCCTGCTCTGCTCCGCTTCGACCGCCATGCGTTTCCCCCTGGAACCACCAATCCCGCCCGCTGCCTACCCTGGCCCCACCAAACCCCTTGCCCGTGCCGGTCATGCTGCTCAGGCTACAGCGCAGCTCTCTCATGAGCATGTAGGCGGCTCTGAAAAGAGCCTTTGATGGGAGAAGGGAAGGAAGGAGAGCAGCGAGCGAGACACGGTGTCAATTGCCCTTGGGCTTATGGCTCTGTCTTCTTGGGCAGCAGCAYGGACTGGATGTTGGGCAGCACGCCACCCTGCGTGATGGTGACACCGCCAAGCAGCTTATTAAGCTCTTCATTGTTGCAGATGGAGAGCTGCAGGTAGCGTGGGATGATGTGCGTCTTTGTTGTCGCATGCCGTGTTGCCCGCCAACTCCAGRATCTCGGCYGTCAGGTACTCGAGCACGGTCGCCAGGTAGACGGGCGCACCCGCGCTCYGCATAGTTACCCTTTCACAGCAGCCACCCACATGCAGCCCACGGGGAACTGGAGGCCGGCGTGCGACGAGCACGACTTGGCCTTAGCACGTGCTTTGCCGCCCTGCTTCCCGCGCCACGACACGCGCGCCAACCGCCCCRACCACCAGTGAGCGCCACGCGATGCGGCGCGCGCCGCCTTTATGCGCGCGCGGSGATTCAAAAGGCGCCAGCCGATTGGCCGGGAGCGGACGCGCCGCCTTGGCCAATGAGCGGGGCCGCTTTGGAGCCTCCTCATCTGCATGGGCCGCGCCCCCCGCGTGCTGTGAGCCAATGCGAGCGCGCGGCTGCGCTCCTCATTTACATCGCGGCGCCGCTATAAGGGCGCCCCGGGACGCGGCCGGGCAGTCGCGCGGAGAGCGGCACCGCGTGCGGGGCTTGGAGCCACCGCCGGTGTCCGGGGGCGCCAGGGCCGTCCGTCCCCGAGCACAGAGCTGCCGGGGAGCCGGGCCCCAGCCACCCCCCGCCCCCCCAGGGGCTCTTTGTGGAGCCACCCACCTTCTCCCATCTCAGCTGTGAATTCTTATATGCTTTGCAATTTATGTTATAGAAAGTCGATTGATCTCCAGAGAACTCTCACTTGCCCTYGGCTTTGTAGCTCTCGGTCTTCTTGGGCAGCACGCTACCCTGCGTGATGGTGACACTGCCAAGCAGCTTGTTAGGCTCTTCATGGTTGCAGATAGTGAGCTACAGGTGGTGCAGGATGTGTGTCTTCCTGTTGTCACGTGCTGTGTTGCCCACCAGCTCCACGATCTGGGCTGTCAGGTACTCGAGCACAGCCACCAAGTGGATGGGCGTGCCGGCACCCCTGTGTTCCGCGTAGTTGCCCTTGCACAGCAGCTGGTGCACGCGGCCGGGCTGCAGGTGGTGCAGGATGATGTGCGTCTTTTTGTTGTCACACACCGCATTTCCCGCCACCTCCAGGATCTCGGCCGTCAGGTACTCGAGCACAGCCACCAAGCAGATGGGCGTGCCGGCACCCACGCGCTCCACGTAGTTGCCCTTGTGCAGCAGCCGCCCACACGCGGCTCACGGGGAACTGGAGGCCGGCRCGCGACGAGCACGACTGGGCCAAAGCCGCCGTGCTTCGTCGCCCTGCTTCCCGCACCTTTATGCGCGCGCGGGGATTCAAAAGGCGCCAGCCGATTGGCCGGGAGCGGMYGCGCCGCCTTGGCCAATGAACGGGGYCGCTTTGGAGCCGCCTCGTCTGCATGGGCCCCTCCCCCCGCGTGCTGCGGGCCAATGGGAGCACGCTGCTGCGCTCCTCATTTGCATCGCGGCGCCGCTATAAGGGCGCCCCGGGACGCGGCTGGGCAGTCGCGCGGAGAGCGGAACCGTGTGCGGGTCGTGGAGCCACCGSCGGTGTCCGGGGGCGCCAGGGCCGCCCCCGAGCTCAGAGCTGCCGGGGAGCCGGGCCCCAGCTACCCCCCGCCCCCCCAGGGGCTCTTTGTGGAGCCACCCACCTTCTCCCATCTCAGCTGTGAACTTTTATACTGTTTGCAATTTTTCTTATAGAAAGATATTCCTTATTTTTTTTTAAAAAAGTAACTGTRGTTGCTTTACAAGCTGTAAATCCTGATTCCTTCTGTATGTAAGTAGGATGCCACATTTATAGGTGTTCTTAAAATCATTCATCACCTCTTAGAGAAATACAAGAAAGGAGCTTTTGTAGKGTTAAGGGAATAGAAAGATACTTTTCAATATCATAGTTCATACCTCTTGTCCTCGTTCATATCTTTGCTACTAATCTCCCACTGATATGGCAGCTCTTGGAAGCCTCCCCTAGAAGGATACCTTTAGGAAGCAGAGAAGACTTRCTTTTCTGCAGGGATTCATTTCCAGGAAATGCTTCCTTGTCTTTTAGGGGTGACTGATAACCTGTCTAGAGCAGTGGCAATCACGGTGTTTTTCCCGGCCAAGGGCYTAGCCCTGATGGGCCCAGCACAGAGCATCACTTTCTCGTGCAAGCAGAGGCTCCAGGGGAGGAAGGAGCAAGATGGGGCAGCTCTTTTTGAGAAAAGGGGATTTCTGCTCTCATTGGAAGAATAGTTAAATGCCTTTTCAAGCATTTGTTTGGGTATGAAACACARTCTGCTCTGCTGTTTTGCTGCTTCTGGACTCTTTCCTTGGTGCAGTCTTTCTTGCAGGATTTGCTGTGTTACAAGCTAGGTTTAAACTAGCAACTAGTGTTTTAATTTGCCTTTGGGGTTATTCTGGTCTTTTGAGGGATCTCAGTGGTGAGGGCAGCCTCTCACCTGCATCAGATGCAGGGGTTGTGTGCAAGGCAGCAAAGCAGGAGTGCACAGGGATTAGCAAAAGCCTGGGCCTCTGCATAACTGCTGCCATCACAATTGATGGCTTAAACTGGAGCACATTTCTTGACAGCAATGTTGTTCCAACCTTAGAACCAAATTATTCTAGTAAATAACTTCAGCCCTTTTCCTGAAGTGGTAGGTGGCTCTTAAAAGAGCCTTTGGGTTTAAAAAATGATGGGATAAGAAGAGCTTGGGCCCTGTAGATTAAGTTGATTGGTCTCCAGAGAACTCTCACTTGCCCTTGGCTTTGTGGCTCTCGGTCTTCTTGGGCAGCAGCACAGCCTGGATGTTGGGCAGCACGCCGCCCTGTGCGATGGTGACACCGCCAAGTAGCTTGTTGAGCTCCTCATCGTTGCGGACRGCCAGCTGCAGGTGGCGCGGGATGATGCGCGTCTTCTTGTTGTCGCGCGCTGCATTGCCCGCCAGCTCCAGGATCTCGGCTGTCAGGTATTCCATGACTGCAGCCAGATAGACAGGCGCACCAGCACCCACGCGCTCCGCGTAGTTGCCCTTGCGCAGCAGCCGGTGCACGCGGCCCACGGGGAACTGGAGGCCGGCGCGCGACGAGCGCGACTTGGCCTTGGCGCGCGCTTTGCCGCCCTGCTTCCCGCGCCCCGACATCRCCACGTCCCCTGCAGCCACAGAAACAAAAACGCAGCCCTTTCCGGGACCTGCCTTTTATATCCTGCTGGGGATTGAAATCGCGCGTTCTTATTGGCTAGAACGCCGCTCTGCGAGCCAACCAATAGGAGAGCACCAAGTCGTTTCTTCTGGCCAATAGCAGCGCGCGGTTTGGAGCCGCCTCGTTTCCACGTGGGCCACGGGCCGGTTCGCGACCACCGCCTCGGAGCGGACTGGGGGTTGTAATAAAGGGCGGGTGGCTCCGCGAGCTGTAGGGCGGCTGCAACAGGCGGGGAGGGAACGCGGCGTCTTGGCCAGACAGCAAAAAGGCAGCTAAGTGCTCGATAATTTCCCCTTCTCTTTGTGTATGGGGGACTTGTGCTTTTGGAGATCTAAGATTTTTTTAAAATAGCATTTTTTAATTATTGCTATGAGACTACGTACTAGTTACTGCCTTATCCTCCCACATGGGGAGCGCTTTAAGGAGTTCTAATCGTTTAATTTTACCCATTTTACCACTGCCGCGCCTTGGACGGGCGGCGCTGGGCGCTGCGTTGGCCGCGCGGGGACCTCGCAGCGTTTCGACGCGTGGGGAAGCGCGACGGGCCGAGCAGCGGCTGCAGTTCTCCCTCAGGTCCGCACCGCCCGTGGTAGGGCGCCCCGCCCACGGCCGCTCCCGCTCTGTGTCCCAGGCGGTGGCGGCGCCGTTAATCCCAGCCTGTGTTTGCCCTCGAATCGCCTTTTAACGCTCCCGTTTCCCGACGAGCGTCTTGATAAGGCCCCGAAGTTTTAATTTTTACCCCTAAAATCCGCCTTGGGCGCCTTTAATTGGCACTCGTGCCGGCTCCTCCCGCAGTGCCCGCCYGCGTGTAGCAGCCGCAGCGCCCTCCGCTTCCCGAGCCCCCTGCGCCGCTTCCAATCCCCTTCCCCAGCGATGCCGAAATTGCCCCCGACGTGGGGGAAGTGCATGAGGAGGCGCCGCGCACCCACTTCACAGAGCCCGGATAGCTCAGTCGGCAGAGCATCAGACTTTTAATCTGAGGGTCCAGGGTTCAAGTCCCTGTTCGGGCGCTGGTATTTTTGCCTTCCCAGCGCGGAGCCGCTTCTCCCGGTCCCCCTTTTCCCGGCCGCCCCCCGCGGGCTCCGCAGTCCCGGCCCGCGCCGCCCTTTAAGGGTCTCGGCCCAGCGGCGCCCAGCCGTGTGCGGCCCGGCGGCGCTGCCAGCACGGGCGGGTCCCATGGTGTAATGGTTAGCACTCTGGACTCTGAATCCAGCGATCCGAGTTCAAATCTCGGTGGGACCTTCCTTCCCMTTTATTTTTCTTTTTCTTTTATGTTTGCCAAAATAGCGGAAAAATGATGGAGGGACTTCTGACACCCCTTCCCCAACAGGGAAGGAAGGAAGGAAGGAGGCCGGACAGCCTTGCTTTGCTAAAATTTGCAAACAAATACTCCCCTCRCTAAAGAATTAATACACTGGAAGACACTGGGAAAGAGTTGAGACTCWTGCACGACAAGAATGGGTTGAAACTTGCCCGAAGGTGTTGGAAGGATGCACCTCTCTCTGGAGAGGGCAAAACTCCATGGTAGAGAGGGAGAAATAATCCCGAGACGCTCCCCAAAAGGCAGCGTGAATAACTTGTAGAAAAAGATCCTTCACCCCAAACTGCAGAGGGACGAAAAGCTCCCTGAAATGGTGATTCCACCYGCAAAATGCGGAATAAAATCATCTTTAAAAGCCGCATTTCCTCCCGTGTGCGGGGCGATGATTTGAAGCCATTTGGTTGTATGAAGCGACCGGATGAAACCAACCCAACCAGCGCCTCAGGAGAGAGGGCGGCCACTTCATTTGCGGTGGCCAAATGCTCATTTATTGCCTTTTATTTTTAATCTTTTTTTTTTTTTCCTAATTAGCATTGTTCCGATGATGGCCGGGGTGTCGTTTACACCCATCCGCGCGGTGAGGAGCTGCCAACTTGGGAGCGTGGGAGGTGAGCACGAGCAGAGCACGGGGCGCACACGTGTGCATGCACGCGGCACACGTGTGCGCATGCGTGTGCATGCGTGTGGTGGCACATGGGCACTGCACACACGCATGGTGCACCCCAAGGGCGCGCGTCGCCCCTACCCCGTCCATCCTCTAATAAAGGTCCGTGGGGCATCGCGGCTGGATCTCGGGGGGCAGCAGGGACCGCCAGCGCGGGGAGGGTCGAGCCCCCCTTGTGTCTTCCGCAGCTTTCGGATTCAAGCGCCCCTGGGAGCCCTTGGTGCAAAGCAAGGTGCGAATAACACGGAAACCATCGTCGGGCGGATGGCCTGCTCTTCAYAGGACCCTAAGCTCCACCTCATGCTCACTGCAACCAAGGCTGCCCCAGCTTCCACTACCCCAAAGAGCCCTTCTCTATTCGTCAGTACCAGGTCTAGCGGGACACCTCGGCTTAACGTGACCAGCTTGGGCCTCCAGCAGGACCCGTACTGGCGATCCCCGTGTGTCTCACCCCACGGAGACCATGTAGGATGCTCCACGCACGACACYGCTCAGCGCCTGCCGAGGCCTTTGCCTGGCCCAACGGTGTGCGATGGTCCAACGGTGGCCCCCCCGAGCGCAGCATTCCAGGGGCGACATGCCGCGGGAGAATCCACGCGGAGAATCCAGCGAGCATCACTCCACGCAAGGCGACGGTGTGGGGTCAAACTGGAGCCGGCCTGGCCTGTGGCCGTCCCCTAGGGAATGGCTGGTGACCCCCACCCACGAGGAGAGCTGATTTGCGGACCACTCCTTGGGGACAACCTCATTCYCCGCGCGTGTCCCCCTCGGGAACGGCGGGCCACCCCGCGCGTGCCTCCCTTTTGGGGAGAAAGGGTGCCGCCCCGGGGYGACACCACGTCATCCCCCAAGGGGAACCGCGACTGCCTCTGTGGCCGCTTCCCCTGACGACTTGTCTCCTCCCGCCTGGGGCGAGGGGACATCTGGGCAGAGCTGCGGTGCTGCCCTGGCTCTCCGCGCCCTCTCCGGCGCTGCCGGCGTGGCGGGACGCGGCTTCTGCTCCGCCGCCGCGATGGCGATAGCCCACGCTCTCCTGGGCCTCGGTGAGTGACGGGGAGTAGGGAGGATCCCAAGAAGCCTGCCTCTCCAGAGCCCCTGGACGGCGGGGACRCCTTGTCCTTGGGCGCTGGTGGCCTGTGGGGGGACGGGAGCGGCTCCCCATATCCGCAGACATCAACCGGTCCCGTGTCCCCCGCAGGCTGCTGTCTGGTCGCGTTGAGCAGCGGGCAGAGAGGTGAGTTGGGGATGGGGACCACGGGGACGGCAGTGGGGTGCACATACGAGGTGGGCCCCGTGTTGGGGGGGTGGCCGGGGGGCACGGGCGGAGGTGGGTCAGGCTGGCGGGGCCCCGAGCGCGGCGCGCGGGACGGGAAGAAGGGCCGTGAGCGGGAGCCGGGGCACGCGGTGGGAATCGGGACGGGGCCCCCCCGGGGTGTCGCCAACGCCACCTCGCTGCTGYTCCCCCAGCGCCCCGGCCCTCCCTGTCCCTGCGCCCCGGCCGGGAGCTGGCCCGGGGGGACACGGCCACGCTGCGGTGCCGCGTGCCCCGGGAGGGTGCCTGGGTCTCCGTTTACGAGGAAGGCGGGAAGAAGCGATGGAGAAGTGGCCGAGGTCTCCATGGTTGTGTCGACGTGGAGCTTCGCCGGGAGATACAGGGGCCAGTACAGGAGCCCGTCGCCATCCCACGCCGTCGTTGAGAGCGACCCTGTGGAGCTGGTGGGGCTGGGTGAGTGTCTGGCTGGGACCCCGTGGGGCTGGGGTCTGCGGGGGCTCCTGGGGGCTAGGGGGTGCCCGGGGAAAGCCAGAGGTCAGAGGATGCCCCTGGGGAAGCGATGGGGCTCTGAGTGCTGGGGGTCACTGCATGGGCGAAGGACCCCTTGGGTGTCCCCAAAGAGCAGCGGGGAGCCGGTATAACCCCGTGAGCGGGGAGAGATGAAGGCACTCCCTGAACTCCAAAGATCCCCGTAGAGGAAGGGAGTCCCCACGGTGTCCTTGTGATTGCGGTAGTGTTCCGAGTCCCTCGGGTCCAGGCATGTCCTTGGAGGCATCCCGGCATCACCTACTGAACACATGCAGGGCGTGGAGGGGTTTCCCGTGCTCTGGAAACACATCCCCATGGGGTCTCCAGGGAGCGTTCCTGGGGTCTTTACAGGATATCCTATGGGSACGTCCCCTCAGGGCCGTGTCACACTGTCTGTCCTTTCTGGACCAGATAGCCGGTTCCCCCCTCCCGTGGTGTCCCTGAGGCCTGGCGGGCGCGTGCAGATGGGCGCCGATGTCACCATCCAGTGCGCGTCCACCTACGGGGCCACCTTCGCCCTGCACAAGGCCGGCAGCTCAACCCCCATCCAGCCCCTCACCGGAGGGTACACGGCCACCTTCACCCTCCCGAGCGTGACACAGGCCGACGCTGGCACCTACGGGTGCTCCTACCGTCCCCAAGAGAACCCCTTCGTCTCCCCACACCCCAGGAGCGAGGTGACGCTGGAGGTGGAGCCTGGGGGCACCAGCACGGAGCACCCCCCGTCACTAAAGCCAGGTAGGACTGAAGCCCCTTGGAGCAGCCTCCAAACCTGGAGGGACGGGGGCTAGAGGGGCTGTGGGTATGGGCAGCAGGAGGAGGGTGTTTAGGGGTGTGGGGGGAAAATACCCGGGAATACGGGGGGCTAATGGGTCCCACTGGGTGTTGGTGGGGACAGGGATGGGGGGACACATCTGGGGCCACGAGGACGTGAGCACAGTCGCAGAGGGAGGAGAAGGGGGAACGAGGATGCAAGGACGTGTGTGGGCACCGGGAGCAGGAGACGCCAGCACGAGGGGACAAGGGAGCAGAGAGGAGGGAAACAGGGAGACGGGATAAGGGTGCGGGCGCAGAGGGGCGGTTGGGCGCGAGAAGGGGCTGAGGGCGCAGTGTCACGGGGCTGGCAGAATGTGGGGACGCGGGAGCGGGGGGCAAAGGGGCAGGAATGGGAGAGGGAGGGCAGGGGCGCRACAAAAAGGGTAGGGACGGGAGCTACAGGGCCACGGGTGTGGACACGGGTCCAGGAAAGGGCCAAAGAACGGATACGGGGTGCAGGGGTGCCACCAGCGCGGGGACATGCTGGTGGGTGCAAACACGTCATCAAGACCCACTGTGTCCGTCCCCCAGCACCCCGACCCTCCCTGCTGCTGCACCCCCATGAGGAGGTGGCACTGGGGGACAACGTCACCTTCCGGTGCCGCATTCCCCGGAAGGGTGTCTGGGCCGTTATCTACCTCCGCCCTGGCGGCCTCCCCCTGGCAGCCTCCACCCCTGGTGGCCTCCGCCCCCAGGGACCTCCCCCCCGGCAGCCTCCACCCCCAGCGGCCTTCACCCCTGGCAGCCTCCACCCCCGGGGACCTCCCTCAGCAGCCTCCACCCCCAGCGGCCTCCACCCCTGGCGGCCTCCACCCCCAGGGACCTCCCCCAGCAGCCTCCACCCACAGCGGCCTCCACCCCTGGCAGCCTCCGCCCCCAGGGCCTTCACCCCTGGCGGCCTCCACCCCCGGGGACCTCCCTCAGCAGCCTCCACCCACAGCGGCCTCCACCCCTGGCAGCCTCCGCCCCCAGGGACCTCGCCCCCAGTGGCCTCTGCCCCCAGGGACCTCCCCCCTGTCGGCCTCCGCCCCTGGGGACCTCCACCCCCGGCAGCCTCCACCCCAGCAGCCTCCACAGGGACCGACCCCACGGGGGTTCCACGGTGCAACCGGGACAGGCAATGGGAGGGAAAGGCGAGGCGCGCGGGGTGACGCCCTCCTCTAATTAGCGGGGCGGCTAATTACCCGGGCAAGACGGCACTTGCCGGCTCCCTCCCAGCCCAACGAGGGACGTGAGTCCATCCCGACCGCTTGTTTCCCTAGCGGTGACTCATGATGGTGGGGAGCGCGCACGGATTGAGGGGGCTCAAGGGGTTTTCTCCTCAAAAAAGGGCAAAATTTGGGCAGGATKTCAAATGAAGTGGAGGGAGAAGCAAAGATTTTGCAGACGGCTGTTCCCAAAGTGAGGCTGAAGGGCATCCGTTTCCCCCTTTCCACGTGGAAGGAGGAAGGATGGAGCTGCTGTGGTTTGGGGGGAGCTGTTGGGGGTTGGATGGAGAGGTTGGAGCGGGTGAACGGAGAAGCTGGAGCCTGGTTGAAGAATTTGGGGGTTCAACGGGGATTTGGGGGCTTGAATGGGGACGAGGAGGGTTGGGTGGAGTCAATGAAGACTGGGTGAAGATGTAGGGGGGTGGGAGGAGCTGTGGATACATAGGGAGGGGAAGATGGATATAAAGACATGGAGAGAGACAGAAGGGTGGAGGAATGGATGGAAGGATGGAAGGATGGATGGAAGGATGGATGGATGGATGGATGGATAGGTGTGTGTATAGAGGAAAGGGTGGATAGAGTGGGTGTACAAATAGACAGACAGAAGGGTGGGTCAGTGGATGATGGGTTGGATGATGGGATTATCCATTTATAAATGGATGGATGGATGGACAGATGGATGGACGGATAGGAGCTGGATGGATGCATGCGTGGACTCAAGGGCGGATAACCTTGACCTCCTGGAAGGCTGGAGAGCGCCGCAGCCACCCGGACAGGGTGCAGAGGACAGACGCACGGCTGGAAAACCAACGGATGGGTGGAGAGCAAGAGAATTTCAGCACAACTAACGGACAGAGCAGCAGACAGAGCCAGAGCGCCGGGAACGGTGGGCGGACAAGCAGGGCCTCCAGACGGATCAACCGAGGGACGGCCAGGAGGCCGGAGACCACAAGCAGCCGGAGGCAGCCTAGGGGGTAGGAACAACCGCCCGGGCCACCGGAGAACCCGGGATTTGCCCCCTGCGCTGGGGGCTTGG